AAATTCTCACATATTATAGGGAAATATACGATCAAAACAAGAGAAATACAATATATTCTGAGGAGAACAGACATTATTAACAATGCACATGAAAAAACATTCAAATGAATTCTTTTGTGCATAAACTTTTTGCAAATGTTGACTTTCGTTGATAAGTTTCATTTTCCCCCATAAGGAATCAACAATAATCCCTCATCATTGCTGCATCCCATCTGTCTTGGTAACGTTGCTCCATTATCAGTATGTCTTGGTGGAACGTTTCCCCTTGTTCTTCACTTACAGCACCCTAATTTCCTGGGAAAAAATTCAAACGGGAGTGCAAGAAATGGATTTTGAGACTTGCGACATCCCATTCTACAAATAGTTCTTCTACAAGTGTTTCGTAATTTTTTATTTTCTTGTTCCCTAAAAACTCCGAAACAATTCTTTTGAAAGAACTACACGCAGCTAATTCAACATTACTTGATTTTTAATTGAAATTTTAATGAATTAGTGGTTTTCTAATTTCTGGTCCAAAAATATACCTTGCTTGAGCTTTGCATCACTTAATTTTGGAAAACCTGTTCAAGATATTTGAATGCATCACCTTCTTTGTCAAATGCTTTTACAAAATTTTTCAATGTGTAATGGAGGTAACAAAACGTTTTTGGAATTAACAAGAGGTATATTCTTAACATTAGCTTGACCTGGAATATATTTATCTCTCGGAGGCCATTCTTTAACTTGATAATGGCTCTGTGTTGCACTACTGTTTCAAAGGCAAAGAAAACAACAAAACTTCGTTAATCCGCCCTGAAGACCAAGTAATAATCATATGACTTTTAGGTCACCACAATTTTGCCATATACGTATTATAAGGAATTAAAGAATTTACTGTCTTGAACAAATTTATTTCTTACAACTATCACTATCGCAAACTAATGTATTTACAACACTTAACACGTAATTTATTTTCACAATTTGAATTCTTTATTTAAACGCATGATTCACTTTCTACATTCGACTGCAATCTCTGGACGAGAAGCCGGCCTTTTATATCGGTAACGATCGCTCTAGATTTTTCTCGTGGTTTCGGTACTCATCTATAATTTTTGCAGCGGTTCGCGGTGAGTCATATGTTTATTCGCTGGCTGATATATCGGTCAGGGGCGGCTTCAGATTCGTTACAGTATTATAAATTGAATGGGTTATATTTTTAGGAGTGACTAATTTTTGGGAAAGAAAGTTTTTGGCTTGCTACTACTTCATCTTGATACAAAAAAAAGGATGAGGGAATCTTCCAAAGAAAGGAAGGAAGTAATCAAGATGGTGTCTTCAACACC